CATTCTACTTTGAGTAAGCTACTGAGAAAGGGTCTTGGTACAATGAAGCCCAACTACTTGGGAGGGAGGCTCAGCTTATCTCAAATTCTTTCTTTTCCTTTTTTTTTTTTTTTTTTTTGTTGTTTTCTTTTGTTTATTGAGACAGCACTTCTTGTGTAGCCCTGAATGTCCTGGTTTCTAAGACCCTGGTGACCCACCAACCATAAAAATAAAGCTTTAATATTTTAAAGCTAAGGCCTTAGCTAGGCAGATTCTCAATCAGCTCATCTAAGTTAACCCAACCACCTAGCACCTTCCCACCAAGGGGCTAGCTATACCCTCCAGGCCTGTAATCAAGTCTCCTCTTTCTTCTTCCCAGAAGCCCTTTCTCCCTTCCAGGAATGTACCACCTTCTACTTCCTGCCTGGATATTGGCTGTCAGCTTTTTATTAAAGCCAATCAGGGAATGCCTTAGGTAGGTGAGGAAGGACAGAGATAAACCTTCACACAACAACATCTCCCCCTTTTAGTCAAATAAATGGCTTTTTGTCTAACATCAACACACTATATAAAAACAATTATGAGAACTACCAGGTAAGGATTACATTCACAATGTCCAGTCTTTTGTATTTGGCCCTTGACTTCCATTCTGACATCAACACATCTTTAAAATATATAGGTTGATTCAAAACAGCAATACTTTCCAAAATCCATTGTTTTTCAGCAGCTGTGCTGTTTTATTGACATTTAAAAAATTTAAAGTTAATAAAGCATTATGTACTCTTATCTCTGAAAGATCTCATCTGTTTTATGAGCATTTCCTTTAAGGTATGGTTAAAACACAATTGCTTGACCTGTAGGATTGTTAAGTTACACTAGTAACGTGCTTTATATTGTAATATACTGGCACATTATAGGAGCTGTGTAGATATCTTTTGAAGTGACCAAGCTGGATTCCAAGAATCCTGTGAAATTATTGTTATAACTACTCTGGTATCCACTAAGCCTTCAATCTCAACCCCATCAATTTTTTATTTTTATTTATTTATTTTTTTTTGAGACAGGGTTTCTGTCTGTAGCTTTGGCTGTCCTGCATTCACTTTGTAGACCAGGCTTGCTTCTGCTTCCTTGAGTGCTGAGATTACAGGCGTATGCCACCGTGGCCAACAGCTCCATCTAATTGTAATTTTTACTTTGGTCTCTTATCATTTATAGCAGTTAGCCAAAATATGTTTTCTGGTATCTTTCATTCCACAATTGCTAACAAGTTATTCCTGTTATTAGAAAAAAACAATAACCAAAAATCAATTAAGGAAACAAGAAAATTCTTTCTAAGTTCTAGGCCAATTGTGTTATCTCATGCTGCAGCAGAAGCCTTGTCTGCTACTTTTTGGAATTTAGGTGTTGCTGCACTACATTGCAGGCCCTTAGCACAAAGAGCTAACAAACCTCTCACAGTCATTGAGCTCTGAGCTTCCGCTGCCAACAATTTCTTTTTTTCTATTGGGAAGAGCTTTTTTTCCTTCTTCTATTCTTATTGACTGTAATTTAGCACTCTAACTCTCAGGTCTCTCCTTATCTAAAGTCTGCTTTATTCTGAACTTTCTTAGAGAGGGCACAGAACACTGTGATCATTACTAAACATATTATAACTAGCTTCATGACAACTAAAACAAAACTATAAAGGGTCCAAGTGCCTTCTGCTATAGAATTTTTCTTTCTTTCTTTCTTTCTTTCATCTCTCTCTCTCTCTCTTTCTTTCTTGACAGGGTTTCTGTGTGTAGCCCTGGCTGTCCTGGACTTGCTTTGTAGACCAGGCTGGCCTTTAACTCACAGAAATCTGCCTGCCTCTGCCTCCCAAGTGCTGGGATTACAGGAGTGCACCACCGCACCTGGCTGGGTTTTCCATTTTTAACTTGGAAAATATTTTCTTTTTAATATTGCTCTCTCCTTCCTTCAGAGACTTTACCTTTTATGCACAATTACAGAACATCTTTACTTATTTCCCTTTTGCTCTCCTTCTTTTGGAGACTTCACTTTATTATGTACTTTTACAGAACATTTCTACTTATTTCCCTTTCTCCTTCCTTCAGACTTTACTTTTCACATTCAAACTCAGTATTTCTTTCCATGACTGTTGTGGTGGTTTTCCTCCCATCCCTAAGTTCCTGTAATAATGACTCATGAAACTCAAAATATTTACAAACACCTAGGTCATATAGGTAGGCTCTTCTCTGATTAGTTCATAACTTGGTATAACCCATTTATACTAATCTACACTCTACCATGTGGCTGATCACCTCTGCTCAGGTACCACGTGTCTGTCCTCTTTCATATCTTCCCAAGTGAATCTCCTGCACCTGACTCTATCCCAGAATCCCTTCTGCCTGCTAAATGTCCCACCTTTTTTTTCCTGCTTCAGCATTTTATTGAGAGGTGATGCTTCCATGCATTGCACAAGAGATTCCCTCTATATCTCCCACTTTTGGTCCAAGAAAAGGCTTTTTCTCTTACAATAATAAACTATAAACAATAACAATTTATAAACACTATCAAGTAAGATTACAGTCACAATGTCGAGCCCATATTTACCAGGCAACTTTGGAGAAAGTATTTTATTATCTATCCTAACTTGGTGAGTTCAGAGTTCTGTACCTAAATCTTTTTGTTTGGTTGTTTTTTTGTTGTTTTTCAAAATAGAGTTTCTTTGTGTAGCCTTGGCTGTCATAGACTCACTCTGTAGACTAGGCTGGCCTTGAACTCAGAGATCCATCTACCTTGGCCTCCCTGAGTGCTGGGATTACAGGTGTGTGACACTGTTCCCAGTCCTAAATTATTTTTTTATCATAATCTGCATTACCAACCTAAAAACATGTTCTACATCTGAAAACATCTTAAATCCTAAACAACTAAAGCTTAACTGTAAGACTGTATCTTCAACTCCATCAGAGACTTGAGAAGGAAACAGTATTACCTTAGTATATAGGAAGTGCAGGCAAGCAGCTTCCAAAATACAGAGTTGACAGACAGCAGGCTGCCTGGACAGCCACTCAAAATTTCTGCGTAATGCTGGAGCATCACCTTCAGCCTTCAGGCCCAGAATATCTGACAGATGTATTTGTGAAGCAGGAATTATAAAGAAACTCACTTTGTAGACCAGGCTGTCCTTGAGTCAGAGATCCACCTGTTTCTGCCTCCTGACTGCTGGTTTTATAGGTGTGCACCACCACCACCTGATGAAAAAATTCCTTTTTTTTTTTTTAAATTCTCCTTCATATAACACCCTACTAATAACTTCCTTTTCCACAAACACCGAAGAGTGGGCTTTTTTATTTGACTTTTTACAAGAGTCTGGCTATGCAGCTCTGGCTGGTCTGTTACTCATTAAATAGGTGCAGATTTGCCTAAAATTGTACCTTCCGCTTCCTGAGTGCTGGGACTACATGCCTGAGTTTGCGTACCTGACCTAAATAAATAAATAAATAAGTGTTTTTATAGACTGTATCTTTCCATTTCAATCTGGTTATTACCCTATTTATCTATGCAACAGCTTTTTTTCCCCAAATTTATCTAGTGACCTTTCTTCTTCCAAAATCCAAACGACACATTTTAGTCCACATCTTACCTGATCTGATAATTTTTTTTCCTGTCTGCCTTCCTTTCTTCCTGTTGGTGCCTTCTCACTGTCCTCTTTTCAGTTTCCTCATGTCACCCCTCAAATGCATCCTCCTCTCTAGGACATTATTCTCTTTAATGGCTCCAAGATCTATCCATATGCACAGAAGTACACTTTAAACTTTCTTGGTTTCAAATTCACATTATTTAATACTTACTTGCCTGAAAGATATCCCGCAGATCTCCCTTAAAACTAATGTAACTCAGTTATTCAGGTCAGAACATTGACATCTCCTTAGTCAACAACTGTCTTCCTACTATACATCACCATTATTTCTTCCTTAGCTTCATAATCTTTTTCTTCTACTTTTGCAAACCATCCTTTACACAGCAAGCAGTGATCTCTCCCTAACCAGTCCCACTCCCCAGGGACTGGACACCAGGCCTAACTGTTGTGCTAAACTAACATGCTAGCGGTCTTCCTCGCTTAAATTAAGCCCAAATCGGTCTCCATCTCCAGGGCTCAAGCAATCCTCCTGTCTCAGGCTCCAGGCCAGCACTAACATGGCCAGAGCTGGCAAACTGTAATCTTTCTACAATACAAATATAATTGTTTACGCCTCTGCTTAGACCCTTCAAAGCCTCTTCATTGCCCGCAGGATAAAATAAATTTACGAGATCTTGAGTCATCGGGTTCCTCCCTAGTTTGTAGACTCCCTAGCTTTTATTACCTTTTTCTTTAGTCACATCAGGCTGTTGGCAGCTCCAGAACATACGTGAGCTCCAGACCGCCTCACCCCCCAACTCAATTCCCACCAATCCTCCACGAGGCAGCTTAGGCGACACTTTCACAGGAACCAGAATCTCAAAAGAAAAGTACTGAAGGGATGAATTCCGAGAGACTGAGAAGCGCTGAAAGGTCCGGGTTTCAGAACCTCTGGGTGACAGGAAGTTCAAAGCAAAGGTTAAATCCAGATCTTGAACTTTCACCTAAGTTCACCAGGCAGTCCGACTCCGGTACTATTCCGCCCTTACGTATCATGGCTGCCAGCCCCAACTCCCAATGGGCTATGAAGTCCGATACCAGCCAGCTCTGGCGCCACCAAGGCTTCCACATTCACGTACGTTACTCTCTCCGCTTCTTAGAACCGCCCCGAAGCCGCCGTTAAGAAAACCCCGCGTTGCCAGCTTGCCCTCAAGCAAGATGGCTGCCGGTCTCCATTCTCTCTTCCCAACGTGAAGCCAACTCTTCCCTGCTCAATGCCGCTGCCAGGCTGCCCTCACCTAGTATGGCTACTCGGCTCATGCCTCGTTATGGTCTCGAAGCCGACTCGAACCGGCCAGGTTCCGGGAGGCGCTGTGCAGGATGCAGCCACCCCCGCCCGGCCCTCCCCTCCCCCACGCCCGCGGCGGCGGCGGCGGCGGCGGAGGCGGTGGCGGCTGGAGCCCGGATGCGGCGCCGCGAGACAGGCTCCGGAGAGCAGCGCGGATGGATCCAACATGGCGGCGCCGAACCTGAGCCGAGAGTGAGGCGGCGGGGCGGCCGGAGTGGGGAGGGGGAGTCGAGTGGGACGGGGCGGGGCCGGGCGGGGCCGCGAAGGGCTTGGGGAAGGAAAGTGAAGGGGGAGGTGGTGGCGACGTCCAGCCTGAGAACCTCCGGAGAGGGAGGTGACGGGACGCTACGAGGTGGGGGAGGGGAGCGGCCGAGGGGGGCGTGCAGGGGAGATGGCAACTGTGGGAGAGGCCAGGGGCCCGGGCGCCGGAGTGGGAGCGTGGGGAGGGGCGTAAACAAGGGCCCGGGCTGGGCCCGGCCGGGGGCATTAGAGAGGCCGAGGTGGGGAGTGGGGCTGCGAGCCAGCGCTTGAGAGGGGTAGGAGCGGGAGGGAGAGGCGGAGGGCGTGAAGGGGCAGGGGGCTTGTGGCATGTGGTTGCAGGGAGGGCTGGACTCCCGTGAGCGCTGTTGTGAGGACGTGTGTGTGTGTGTGTGTGTGTGTGTGTGTGTGTGTATGGGGGGGGTGGACTTTAAGACGTTTTCTGTGAAGGGAGGTTTTGAAAGTCTTCAAATTGAACGCGGAAGGGCCTAGGGCAGAATTTGGGTGGAAAAGGAGAGAAGGAGGGCTTGGGGAATGGAGGGAGTGTAGACGTGACGAGGTAACGTAGAAAGTGAGAGACCGGGAGGAAAGTTTGGAAGGAAGGGGATAGGGGGCAGTGGAGCAGCACGGGTAAGAGAGGGTTTGGGGGTTCCCCTTTCCTCTGTGGAAAGGCAGCAGAGTTAAGCAGTATCAGTTGCAGCCAATTTTAATTGCCAGGCGCTTAGCTTTTAATAGGGTGGGAAGGGCAGAAAGGAATGGTCATGTGGGTTTGGAGAATTGGGGTTGAATGAGGGTTCAACCGGATCTGCTTTCCAAAACACTCTCTTGCTTACTGCTTCCTTGTTTTTCCTGGTTACAAATAGGGACGTGAGTAAAGCAATTTTCTAGGGTTTTTGTTTTTTGTTTTTTCAATTAGCATTACAAGGATGGGGAAAAATATATTACTGGAGCCTTATACCCCAAGGTGGGGGCTCTGGAAGCCTGAGGAGGAAATAGAAGAGAGACTGGCATTTAGGTAATCAGGCTAATTAAATCCGCTTTCCTTTACAGACCCTTCTTTTGCTCCTCAAGTGCTGGAGGGGAGAAGGGGGCAATATGCATGCTTAGAAAAATGTTTCTTACCAAAGTGTGGAAGTGAGTGGATGCTGCCTTAGTGGTTATTTTGTTCTTGTGGGCTGAAGGAAAAGGTGAAGTTTGAATTTGATTCTGGTCTCATGAGTGAAGTGATTTGAAGGAAGAGCTTTCTTTGGCTGTAACTTTTTCCCCTTCCGATTCCCCTTAACACTTATGTTGTAAGAAAATAGATGGAATAAGGAATTGAGGAGGAAGGTGAGCCGGTATCGAGGTAATCAGGGTAATGCTTTATTCTTAGAAGCTGTTCTGTTGGGACCTTTCCTACTAGGAAGGAGTCTTTGAGGCTGGAAATTCTTGGGGTTGATGCTGTATTGTGAATTGACAATCAGAGAGGGACCTTGGGGAGTTTGTTATGTTTGAGTCCTCTTTAGCTTGGATTAGTTTGTCCAATGAAATGACTTTAGGCCTCAATTACTTTTTTTCCCCCCCATGGACACTGACTAACTGTGAACCTTTGAAGTTTCAAAATAAAGCTTGACATTTTACTCTTTCCCTCCTTATTTGTTTTTGTTTTTCTGCTGGCTTTGAAACTTGTGCTAGGAAGAGACCTGGGAAATTAAGTTTCTTGCAAAGGTAAGTCTGGAACTTTTGATCGTTTTTAAACAATGGAAGGGAACAGAAGTGGTATGAAATGCATTGGAGTAGAGCCTAATTAATGAGGTATATGCTAGGGAAAATGGGTTTCACTCATCTGAGTTCATTAAGGTTTGTTGCAGTCACTCCTCAGGTAACTGAAAAAAGATAGGAGGAGGGAAAAGGGGATATTAAGTGTCTTGGGACAAGGTACTAGCTTTGGTTTGCTATTGTCTAGCCTTCTGATCAGCTCTGAGTGAAACATGTTTAACATATGGAAAGCTGTGCTCTTGTGCATTATCTATAGAGTATTTCTCTTGGAGGATGGCTGAGGTACTTCAGTGAGAGAGTTCTTCTCCCGTTTTACTGTCTCTTCCAGCTGTTCAGAGTTCTTGGGATTTTTTTGAAAACATACTGTGTAATTCTGCCCTCCAGATATATTTGGTTACATTTTTCTAGTCCCACCAGCAAGAAAGCGACCGCTTCATGTACTCTTAGCTGTCTTCAAGATTTTCCATGTAGTTTTCATTTCAAGGTTCGAGTTGTCACCTTTTTAAAAGAAAGGTTCTCACTATGTGTCTTGGCTGGCCTATATTTTGCTATGTAGACCAGGTCCATCTCAAACTCATGGATCCATCTGCCTCTGCCTCCCAAGTGTGGGGATCATCTGGATGTGGTCACCTTTTTTTGTTTGTTTGTTTTTTTAAGTTCTTTCACATGACTTTTTTCTAAGGGCTTCTGAGAGAGTCAAGTATTTCTTTTTCTCCTGTGAAAATATAGATGTTAGGAAGAATCTAGACTACCATTTTCTGCTTCTGGTAAGTCAAAATACTTTAAAAATAAAATTTAAAAAAGAGTTGTCATTTCTGGATGGGAGAGTCTAGACTGCTTGGGCATGGAAACCCAGTAGAGAATAACCTATCAGGAAGAAACTCTCTAGGTACATGGAGACTCTTATTGGCTTCTGGTTACTTCTGACCTCGCTAAAGGAAAACAAACTAGAACTCCAGGAGATTTATCAGAATCTAGAGTTATTCTGTGCTAGGGATGTAGCTTAGTGGAAGAGCACTTACCCACTTAACCCCAGGCCTCTATGTTTGATCCTTTGTACAAAAGAAAAGTATGTGTTAGTATTTGAAATATAACAAGGTCATTCATTGTATCAGTGCACTTGTTTATAGTAGTTGGGTTTTGTTTTTATGTAGACCAGGCTAGCTTTGAATTCAGAGATCCACCTGCCTCTGCCTTCCAGGTGCTGGTATTAATGTGTGTGCCACCCTTTCCTGCTTACTGCTGTTTTTTGCCTCTTGGTATTTAGCAGTAGTTGAGATACCAACACATGAGCTCTTTTTAATCTTCTGTTTGGAGGAGTGTGTTCTCGTCACCGTGGTATCTTTCATCTAGGAGCTCTGTGTCTAGGCTGAGCTCCCTTGCCACTGAAAGCTGAGTATAGTTTGGTTTAAGAGGAAGTTGGTGACATTCTTTTCATCCTGAAGTTAGATTCTTAGACACCCTGGCTGGGTTGCTGAACTAACTGACAATCCTGGATGATAATTAAGTGGGGAGAGCTGCTTACCAGCCTGCATGTCAGCCCCTTGACATTATTCGGGAGACAGGCCTTAGGAAATGCTTGCTTCTCTGTTTTGCTTCATTGAATGGTGTAAGTCTGATTAGTGAACTAACAGGGAAGGGCCTGCTATCCAGTCTTATGTTTATCTTGAAGAGGATGGCATTTTTCTCATTCCCACAAAACTCCAGATTGAACTAGGTCAGAGTAGACCTCCTGGGATGGACCAGAAGGGAGTATGTCTGCCACCTGCTATTTACCTGAGTGGCAACAGCAGGATATGGAGAAGGCATTGCTGGAGTGAGATGAAGCTTCTTTGTGCTGGTTGGATATCCGAGTAAAACGAGTCTCTGTCTGACCGGCCTTCCTTTTCTTTTGGAATATGATTATATTGTTTTGGGTTGAAGAAACCTAACAGCTTCCGTCTGTAGTTCTAATAAAGAAAATGTATGTATATCCTTTTGACCCTTCATCATGTTTCGCTTAAAATAGGATTTCTCAACCTTAGTACTGTAGACATTTTCATCCAGATACATTTTTATTGTTAGTAATTGTCCTGTGCTTTATAGGATGTGTTAACAGTACCCTGGCCGTATTCTGTGCTGGTAGTGTAACTACCTCTCCACAAAGCCTGCCAATCAAAACTGTCTCCAGTCATTGCCAAATGTCTCCTGGCAGGACAAATTGCTCCTGGTTGGAAACCACTGACCTAGAAGCTCTGATGATTCCTAGTGCCTTGGATGATTTAGCTTGGGATCTAGGATTTAAAGGTGACTCTTTCCCTCCCTGTCAAGGGAAAGGAGTTAATTATCAGAGAATTGAGACCTATTGTTGAGTTACATTGGTTATATAATTAGGACTGTAGTGTTTTTCTTTATTTTGCTTCATTTTCTAGGGACAGAGTACATAGGGGGTGGTTTTTCTTAATTGCTTGGGGTTTAAGGACACTTTGAATTAGGGAAACCAGGCAATGACCTGCTCTTCTGATTGGTTGGATGTGACACCTGCCCATCTGTTTTCCCTGGGATCCTTATAATCAGCAGCTGGCCAAAGGGAACAGGTGGGATAGGGACCATGGAAAGGTTGCAGGGTTCTAAGGAAGCTCAGTTTTCTACTGCTTAGTTGACTACCCCATTTGTACTGACTGGCAGCAGGTGAAATGAGAGGAAGACCCAATGAAATGCAGTCTCTGTAGTTGAATGATAATTTTCTCAGCTGTTTGCCCATACTTTTTAGTGGGATACCCGAGCTTTCAAAACTACATATGGGTTATATTTATTTTTTACCTGGGATTCTTTTCCCTCTCCCCAGAGGAGGATTAAAGAGTCTCTTGGCACTTTGCTTTTTGGCTCACTGAGGAAGAAAGGACCAGGTTCTGTTGCTTTTCAGCTAAGTTGTCATGGTTCTTCTGAAGTAGTTTACCGTTCTGTTCAGTTCTTTCTGGTGCTAGAAATGGAACCCCCGGCCCCCTGTGTGCTGAGCACCCCTCCACCACTGAGTTCTATCCAAAGCTTTTCATTTGCTGTCTTGTAGCTTAGCCAGTATCACCATATGGTCAAAACATCATCTTGTTGGATCAAGTGGTTTGGTGTGGTTAGTTTTCTAAGGTACGTACGGCTAGCCAGAATATGTGCATGCCCACTGAATACTGAATGTGTTCTTGTGTGCACTCCTCACTTGCCCCATTCTAAGACAGGTTTCACTGTATAACTGAGACTGGCCTTGAATTTGTTGTGTGCCTCAGTTTACCTAATTCCAGATTACAGGCGTGCACATTGCAGTACCATGCCTGGTTTACATGTGTCTTTTTGGTGGGGTCCACTCTTGGACTTCGATAGGTTTGGTTTTTAACTGGCATTGCTTGTATTCACCACTCAGAAATGAAGTTCATTTCTCAACAACAGGTTGGCTGCTCCTATAGCTGTCTACTACTAGGAATTAGGAATATAAAGTGATTTTGATTTAGCCCCACTCCATGAATTGTGCAGGATCTAAATAATTTCAGTACACGATATAAAGGAAATATTCAGTGTTCCATAAGAGCACAGAAAAGGACCACTTAAGTCAGCCTTGGGGATGTAAAAATAGCGTCTGAGTTGACTTGATTTTGTTTGTTTTGTTTTGCTTTTTTTGTAAAGCAAAAAAAAGGTCTCAGTAGCTGGCCTCAGATTCATCGACATCTGCTTCCCTTTGCCTTTACTTTGCTGGGATAAAAGGGGGATAAAATGTATGAAGCCACCCAGACCAGCTGAATTGTCTTTTTGTTTTGTTTTTGTTTTTCTAGACAGGGTATCTTTGTGTAGTCCTGGCATCCTGAAACTCTCTGTAGACTAGACCTGCCTTGACCTCACAGAACTGGGATTAAAGGTGTGCACCACCACCGCCTGGTGCAAGTTGACTCTTAGGAGTTATCCATGTGAAAATGAGGGGTTTATATGAAATAGATGAGAAAGGGAGTTCGGTGAAGGGAATAGCCTGAAGAAAAGAATAGAGGAATGAATAAGTTACATAACATATATAAACTATACACATGATAATATTGGAGAACTAATAGTTGATAAAAGCTAGGCTGTGTGGTAGATGAGGTGGTTATGTAGGTCTTGTTCTGGAAGACCAAGTAATTTGAAGTCTTATAGGTGAAGATTGGGATTTCTCCTCCCTTATATCCACAGCTCAGTTTATTTTAGATGTGGAAGATGGATTTCTGTAGGTTAAGACCAACAGTGAAAGGCTAAGTCTGATGGCACACACCTTTAATCCCAGCACTCAAGATATAGAGGCAAGCAGATCATTGTTAGTTGGGAGCCAGCCTGGTTTTCAAAGAGTTCCAGGACAGCCAGAGAGATGTTGAGAGACCCTGTCTCAGAAAACCACCATGTTTTACAGGCATATTGGCAGTACATGCCTGTAATCTTAGCATTTAGGAGTCTCAGGTAGGATGACTGAAAGGTCATTGCTTACTTAGGTTATATAGAACGTTCCAGGTCAGTCTGGTCTATACCTTGAGAGCTGGTGTCAAAAAAAAAAAAAAAAGAGAAATTTTGGAGAAGAGTCAGTTGCAGAGCCTGGTGAAATGGCTCGGCAGGCTTAAGCCTGACAGCCTGACTTCCATCCCTTTCCCCACCTGGTGGGAGGAGAACCGACCCCTGAAAGGTATCTTCCAATCTCTGTATGTGCACTGTGGCACTTATGCCCACTCACAAAGTAAATAATAAAATTTTTTAAATATAGAGCCAGTTGCAGTAGTACAGTTGAGACAATGGTTAGAATGGGAACCATGGCAATGGCAGCAGAAGGGAAAGGAAGGGCACATTTAAGTATTTTTGCATTGTACAGTAGGAATTAACTGACTGTTTGGCCAAACATGGTGGCTCACACCTTTAATCCCATTACTCTGGCTGGAAGCAGAGACAGAGTCTAGGACAGCCAAGGGCTGCAAGACTGGAGGATGTGGTCAGTACTCAGATACAGTACTGTCTTGCAAGATAGTAAGTATGGATGACTATAAAGTGGAAGTAAAAACTGTTAAGACTAGATGACTGGTTGATGATATTACACAGGGTCAGTGTGTGAATCTTACAGGGCTGTGATTGGTCCTTGGCGGGGGGGGGGGGTTGGTATGCGCCATCTGTAAGGAAGTGTCAGATGTTTTGTTTGTTTTTGTATTGTTCCAATTTTGAGACCCTGTGGCTCAGACTAGACTCAGATTCCCAGTCCTGTCTCATGAGGCCTCCCAGAGTGCTAGGATTATGGCACGTGTCACCGAAATCACTTTTGCCGTTGAGACTTTGAAGTTAAGAGGCATGCTTGAAGTCACAAAGCTAAAGTTTGTAATGAAACAGAATATAAACTAGTTTAGTTAGTGACTTAAAACTGTTCATCTGATTCAGTTTATCTCTCAAAAGATTGAATTCTCTACTTTGCAATTTTGCCTGTATTTAAGAAATGAGGCCAGAAGGTGGTAGCACATGCCTTAGTCCCAGCACTCAGGAGGCAGAAGCAGGCAGATCTCTGTGAATTTGAGGCCAACTTGGACATAGTTCCAGGACATCCAGATTTACATAGTGAGACTATGTCTCAAAAAATAAAATAAGAGCCGGGCATATGGTGGTGCACACCTTTAATCCCAGTACTCAGAAGGCAGAGGCAGGGGGATCACTGTGAGTTCAAGGGTACCCTGGTTTACAAGTGAGTGCAGGACAGCCAAGGCTACACAGTTAGAAACCCTGACTCAAAAAACAAACAAAATAAATAAATAAAATAAAAATAAAACAAGTAAATGAAATGCTTAGGAAAGAAAAAAAAGTTTTTCTTTTTCCTTGAGACAGGGTTTCTTTGTATAGATCTGGCTTTCCTGGAACTTGCTCTGGTAGACCAGGCTGGCCTCAAACTCATGGAGATCCACCAGCCTCTGCCTTCCAAGTGCTGGGATTAAAGGCATGTGCCACCACCACCTGGCTAAAAAGGTTTTTTTTGTTGTTGTTGTTGTTTATTTTCAAAACAGGGTTTCTATGTGTAGCCCTGGCTGTCCTAGACTGGCTTTGCAGACCAGGCTGGCCTTGAACTCACAGAGATCTGCCTGCCTCTGTCTCCCTGAGTGCTGGGATTACAGGTGTGTGCCACCTGGCTGGCTCTTGTTTCTTAAGAGAGATTCACTATATAGATCAGGTTGGCCTGGAATCAGATCCTCCCGCCTTAGTGCCCTCAGTGCTAGTTACAGGCTTGCACCTCCATGCCCAGCAAATCAGTGTTTCAAGGGACTAAAAGCAGTGATTTTTGGGCAAGAGGAACAATCTGGATAACATAAAATAACAAAACAAAAATTGAGACAGTTTCATGTAGCCCAGGCTGGTCTTGATCTATAGCTGATGATGGCCTTGAACTCCTGATCTTCTTGTCACCACCTCTCAAATGCTAGGATTATAGCGTGCTTTACCATACTGGCTTGTTTGAGTTTTTGAGATAGGATCTACTTATCTATCCCTGGCTGGACCACAGATTGCTCTCTAGACCAAAATGACTTCAGACTTTGGGTAATCCTCCTGCCTCTGGATCCTGAGTGCTGTAATTACAAGTGTGTACTCTCATGCATAGCTACAGTGGAAACTTGTGAACTATGCAGTACTAAAATCACAAAAACATTCTTATTCCAGGAATCGACTATACCCCATCTGTAGGTTCTGAACTTAGAGCATCATCTGTTGACTATGAAGAGCTTTAGGACTTTTTGCTTGTTTCGGTTTGTTTTTTCGAGACAAGGTCTTTATGTATCCCTGACTTGGAACTCTGTGATCTACTTGTTTCTGCTTCCTAAGTGCTGAGATGAGAGGCATGTATGCCCAGCATATGTTTATTTTTTTAAATACATACTTTATAATAGTTAATAATCATACTAAGCAGTGTGCTGCATTAGTAGCATATTAAGACAATGCAGATAAATTAATTACTACCAGTGCGTGGCTCACACATTCTTGTCCTGTCTTACAGGACGCTGGAGATTGCAGCTGCTGAGCAGAGATTCTGGAAAGCACTCTCTCCCTGAGCCTCTAGCATGGCAGGCCGAAAGCGGCGGGCAAGCCAGGTGTGGCCTGAAGAGCATGGTGAGCGAGAACATGGGCTCTACAGCCTCCACCGCATGTTTGACATCGTGGGCACCCACCTGACGCACAGAGATGTCCGTGTGCTTTCCTTCCTTTTTGTTGATGTTATTGATGACCATGAACGTGGACTCATCCGAAATGGACGTGACTTCTTGTTGGCGCTGGAGCGCCAGGGCCGCTGTGATGAGACTAACTTTCGCCAGGTGCTGCAGCTGCTGCGCATCATTACTCGCCACGACTTGCTGCCCTATGTCACTCTCAAGAAGAGACGGGCTGGTGAGGGCGAATGGGGTCTGGGAGCACTTGAGTAAGAGAATACTTGTGGGAGGCCGGAGTGAGTAGCACAGGAGTCTAGCAGGGAGGTGGTCTTGACCTGGGGAGTACCTAGAATAACCTGTGAGACCTGTTGTTAGGAGACAGATGTGTATTTCCCTTGAGTGACTCCTTCTCCTCCTGCAGTGTGCCCTGATCTTGTAGACAAGTATCTGGAGGAAACATCAATTCGCTATGTGACCCCCAGAGCCCTCAGTGATCCAGAACCGAGGCCTCCCCAGTCCTCTAAAACAGGTGAGAAGATATTACTCAAAATTTTCATGAGCAAGAGAACATAAATCCCATCAGATCCTATGCTGGGCCAACATCTGTGAAAGGGTGCAGTCCCTTTGCATCTGCCCCATTAAAACACCGGAAGCCGGGGAGATGGCTCACTTGATAAAGTGCTGCACAGGAGTGAAGATCTGAGTTCAGGTCCCCAGTACTGACATGAAAAAAGCTAGGGAGTAAAGGTGGCTGTATTCTCGGTGTTGGAGTAGAGACAGGTGGATCCCTGTGGCTGATATAGCCAGCCAGCCTTGGCATGTTAGTGAACTTAAGGTTCAGTGATAGACCTTGTTTAAGAAATGATTGGGAAAAGATTGAGGAAGACACCGAATGTTGATCTTCACATGCAAGCACGCGCACATGAACACATCTATGTGAACATGCACACACAGAGATCGAAGTATGCTTTGTTTGGGTCTAGTGTTTGCTCTCACAGCAGATCCTTTTAGGTTGCTTTTTTAAAAAATCAACTTACGTGTACAAGTGTATTGTCTGCATGCATGTTGAGTATATATTTGCCTGCATATCTGTATGTGTCCCACATGTGTGCCTGCTTCCTGGTGTAGAGATCAGAAGAGGACATCAGATCCCCTCATACTGGAGTTATAGGCAATTGTGAGCCACCATGTAGGTCATGGAAACTGAACCTGGGCTCTCTGTAAGAGTGACAAGTGCTCTTAACCACTGAGCCATTTATCTTTCTAGCCCCAACTTTTTATTTTTTTGAGACTTCCTATCTAGCTCAGGTAGATGTAGAACTCTGTGTAGTCCAGGCTGGCCTTGGACTTCATCTTCCTTCCTTTTCTTTTCTTTCTTTTTTTGTTTTTGAGACAGGTTTTCTTTGTGTAAACCTGGCTGTCCTGGAACTCACCCTGTAGACCAGTCTAGCCTTGTATGCAGAAATGCACCTGCCTCTGTCTCCCAAGTATGGGCCACCACTGCCCAGCTTCCTTCCTTCCCTCTTACGTGCTTAGGATATATTTCTCCCGCCATACTTAGTGCAAGTCCCCTCTCCTACCACTGTTGAAAATGAACCCAGATCTTTGTGAAAGGTTGGTAGACATCTGATCACTGACCTCTACACCTCAGCCTTTAGGTTATCACCAATACTGCTTTTATTATCAGGTCTGAATGATTCCTTTGCATATTTCAAGTTGAGTATTTGAAGTTCTGCTTTTAAAACCTTATCTTTCAATTTACTTTCTGGTCAGTGCCTCCCCACTATCCTGTGGTGTGCTGCCCCACTTCAGGTTCCCAGATGTGCAGTAAGCGGCCAGCCCGAGGGAGAGCCACACTTGGGAGCCAGCGAAAACGCCGGAAGTCAGTGACACCAGATCCCAAGGAAAAGCAGACATGTGGTAAGGAAATTCAAGGATTTTAGAGATACAGACTTAAGGGAAAATACCGTGAGCTCCTGGGATCTGAGATAATGGACAATCTGTTGTTCAGTTAAAGGCAATCTTTGCTGTTTTCAGGTTGGATTTAGTTCTCGTGAGAACTAGTATGTTTTTGGCAACGGTATATTACAATCCTTTTTAGTTTTATTAAGTCAAAGGAATGCCAGTATGACATCATTATAGGATGAACCAAGTCAAGACAAAAATTAAAATAAATTCTGCAGGTATTTAATAAAGCAGCTCTTCTAAGCAAGGTGGTGTTTGTGAGTCACCTGAACATACTGACTGCAGGGAAGCTCTGGCCTTGAGGCAAGGACTGCATGGACATGGGGAAGTAGTTCTTGGGGAGATGTAGAAGCTGGGAAAGAGGGCTTCTGCTCTGCTGTGCTTGCTTTTCTAGCGTTGACTGTAAACACAATTCTTACTGTAAGCCATTCTTCCTGAATCTTCCCCAGACATCAGGCTGCGAGTTCGGGCGGAGTACTGCCAGCATGAGACTGCTCTGCAAGGCAATGTCTTCTCCAATAAGCAGGACCCACTTGAGCGCCAGTTTGAGCGCTTTAACCAGGCCAACACTATCCTCAAGTCCCGGGACCTGGGCTCCATCATCTGTGACATCAAGTTCTCTGAGCTCACCTACCTCGACGCATTCTGGCGCGACTACATCAATGGCTCATTATTAGAGGCACTGAAAGGCGTCTTCATCACAGACTCTCTCAAGCAAGCTGTGGGCCATGAAGCCATCAAGCTGTTGGTGAATGTGGATGAGGAGGACTATGAGCTGGGTCGACAGAAACTCCTGAGGAACTTGATGCTGCAAGCATTACCCTGACCTTTCCCCTTCTCATCTTTCTGGGGACTGTTTGCTGTCACCTCTGGAGCTGACATTCTGTTCTGGGGTTTGTTCTCTGCCCTTCCAACCAATCACACCACCCCCCCCCTTTTTTTTTTTTTAAAGGAAAAGACAGGAGAGTGGAAGTGGTGTTCCCTACCCCTCCCTGCACCCATGTGCCTGGGCGTCCCCTCTGTTTCCTGTTGCCATTACCCCCTAATGTGTGTCTCTACAGCCACCTTAGCACTGAGCCGTAAGACAAGTGTATAGGGACGGAGTCTATGGAACATAGCCTTTGTAAGGGGCTGAGCGTTGCTTTCAGGTGCAGTGAGGGGTAATCAATGCTTACGGCTTTATGAGGGCTCTTAAATTTTGTCTGAAAACCAAAGGGCTGTGAGGAAAGGAGCTATGTGGAAGGTGGGACTCTGAAGTGTATTTTGGAAATTAATTACCACCTTCTTCCAAATTATAGAATTTTTTAAAAACAAAGAAGCTGTGGCCCTTTCCACTGTCTCCTGGCCTCTGGTGCTGCTTCTTTCTGCCTTTCCTTCATGACAGCTTGAGACTGGTGTGGCCCCCTCCTTTTCCACCTTGTCAGATCCTCTTCAACAGTTACAGAGGATTGGGCCAGCCTGGTTACCTTCCCAACTGTGGTGTGTGTGAACACCAACACCCGGAATGGGTGGAGTGAGCCTGCTGGCTGAAGTATACACTCTCTGGAAAGGAGAAGGGGGTGGGTACGTTTCCCTTCCATTTTCCATTGAAACTAACAAGTTCACCCTTATCTACCCCAAATCCCTTTCCTCTTGCTTCCTTCTTGCTTGAGAGAAAGTGAAGTAGTCAGCATCAACTCCTCCTCCTGCCTTTCCTCCTATTCCCATGCTTTGGAGAGCCAGGTTGGTGTGCACACTGGGCATTGCACTCTTAGGTAGGGTGGCGTGTTTAAGCCAGGAGGCTTACAAGTGGAGCCCAGCCAAGCAGGTACCACACCACTCCCCTTCCAGCCCCTAAAGGAGATGTCCAGACAGACATTATGATGATTATATTTTTTTCAATGCAGTGCTGCTCAGCCCTCAGCGTAACTTCAGTTTTCATGAAATAAACAGTGACTATATAAAATTTCACTTTTCTGAAACTGAAATTTGAGGTCAGGTCAAAGTCTCTTCTTTTCCATGAACTTGAGCCTGTTACCATTAAGAGAGTTTACGGTTCTGCAAGAGAAGGGAACTGTGCTTGGGGCCTGCCTACAAGTCACAGTAGTATCACCTCACAGTTGGCATGTCTTTGTGTGTTTCAACCAACAGAAGTTAAAAGCCTTAAGACAGTGGCTGACCCAGATTGCCATAGAGGTCAGGTCTGCGATGCTGGAACACAGGCAGGTTTTTGCGCATCTGTTGCAGAAAGTTGAGATCAATTCGGGCAAGGCAGAGGCCTGGTCCCTCAGAGCAGCAGGCCACCACTGTACCCCAGGGGTCTACCACCATGCTGTGGCCATAACTTGCTCTTGTCTCGTGGTGCCGTCCACACTGTGCTGCTGCTATCACATAGCACTGAGATTCAATGGCACGGGCCCGCAACAGCACCTGAGGACGAGTACATACGGCAGTTAATAGGCAAGTGACAAGAAATGGGCACTAAAGGCCGATCTCATTGACAAAATGGACCGACTAGAATTAGTGACTACATTAACTCTCTAACGTGACTCATTTATCTATGGAGTAAATTTCCCCACCAGGTGGAAAGGGAAGAAAATCCTTCAAGTGAAAAAACAGGGAAGGAGAGTAAGGTTTGGTTGTTTTGGATTTTGTGGGGGTTTTTTTGTTTTTTGAGATAAGGTTTTACTGTGTAACCCTGGCTGGTCTGGAATACATACAGATCTGCCTGCCTCTGCCTCACAAATGCTGGGCTAAAGGCATGTTTGTTTTTTGCTTGCTTTTTGTTTTGTTGAGACAGGATACCCTCTGTACTCTGGCTGTCCTGGAACCCACTCTATAGACCAGGTTGGCCTCAAAACTCAGAGATTCATCTGCCTCTGCTTTCTGAGTGCTGGGATTAAAGGCATGCGCCACTGCTGCCCGGTTTCTTTTTTTTTTTTTTTCTTAGTCAAGTTATCACTATGTAGAACATGCTGGCCTTGAACCTGTGGCCATCCTCTGGAGTGCTTGGAGTTTAAATTTGTGCCACCCTACTCTCACTGCTGGGAAATCTAAAGGGAGGCCTATATGTCATGAAGAAGTATTCTCTTACCTCCCAGTGGGCTGGGCCTGTCACAGATCCGAAGGCTGAAGGATAAGTCAGTATCTCTGCCCCAGCTTGAGCCAATTTCAGAGAAAGTTCAGGGAAACGCATGTCATAACAGATTGCTAGACCAATCTGGAATGAGAAACAACCCACTCATCTTCCCTGTCCCATTCGTCATAACATCTAGTACCTTCATTATCCTAGGCCAAAGGAGGGGGTGATACCACCTTTTCAATGTATTCCTATTTCCTTTTCAAACTCCCACCTTGCCTGCTGGTGTGCTGACTGGTGGCTCAAGAACGTTTCCAGGCATGGTAGCATTGCTTTCTCTCATGGGCCCCTGACCTGGGATCTCTACATCGCACAGATGTGTCTTCCTGTAACTGGCCACTATTGATCCTAGAGTAAGAGATAAGGGGGGGGGGGGAACACAAAATCTCTGTACAGGCACTCTGAAAGCCCAGCTCGTCTCTTCTCCCAAAGAAAACTCATAGGCTAAGAACAGAAACACAAAACCCCTAACATCCTGCAGTTGAGAGAATGATGCTTGAAGGGACTGAGTTGAAGGCAGAAGAGCCTGGGAAGAGGCAAGCTCAAGGGGTAAGAAGCCTCACCTTTGCTGTCCAGAAGCACATGACAATTGTAAATTTTCTGAGTCTGCTCCCAGTCTTGGCCACGCTCGTGGAAACCACCCAAGGACAGCCAGATTTCACATTCCCTGGGAAGAGGGAACACTGACAGCTCCACCCAGTGCCCTAGCCCCTCCATGTGCCAATCCAGGACCACTGCCCAGAGGGGATTCTATCACCCTTCCACCCTTGTACCTGGCAAGCTGGCTATATCGTCCCAAAAGGTCCCCGTCCAGTGGTTCTGACAAGTGTAGTGTCTCGGCAGGATTTCGTGCAATAAAGTCAAATGCCTCAGGCAGAAAAGCCAGGCAAGCACCCTGTCTGGCAGCCTCTTGAACCAGCTCAGCACATGTTTTAAAGTTCTCTTGCTTGTTTGGTGTTGATGTTACCTGGCACACAGCCACCAGGGGCAGCTCCCAGGAAGTTGGTGAGGACACCGCCATGGCTCTGGGCCTGTGAATGGCACGGGCAGTCTCAGATTTACTAGCATGGAGAAACTCAGAGGCGCAAGTAGGGGTGGGGCCAGAAACCCAGACTTTCTTTTCTGAAACAAGGTCTTTTGTAGTCCAGGCAGGCCTTATTTTGTAGCTGAGGTTGACCTTCAACTTCTGATTGCTCCTCCTGCCTGTTTTCGAGGTGCTGGGATTGCAGGTGTGTCCCACGATCCCTAGCGACTTGTTTCCGTTCTTACAGAGCATAATAAACCTAGAGTTACTGGTGTTCATTAAATGTTTGGTGGTGCAGACACCCTTTGTCTCCCACTATGCAGTTAATAAACTCGGACTGAGCAGATATGTGCCAAGCAAAGAACATAACAAAGCATGTTACCTGGGCTGAGTACAAAGTACTGAGGTTCGAGGTAATCGGTGTCCGGTACACAAAAGGGACAGGAGTTGGAGAGGAGGCCTGGTGATGAAGCCCAGCCTGAAGAAGGTGAGAAATCAGGACACCTAACCCTCCTTCAAGCATTAAGTATCTAGAATTCTCTGCCATTTCCTGGTCTGGCCAGTAATCCCCTCCCCTAAGGCTTCAAAAAGACCTTTTACTAGTAGTAGCTATGGAAAGAGATCATAAAATGGGAAAATGGGAGAGGAGACTATGATCGGTGCCTTAATACCTCAACTTCCAGTGACCTCACATTAAAACTGAAGCCCTTTTCCTTGACTTCCGCTGTTCAAGTCATCTCATGGAACCTTCCTCGTTTCCCCAATTCTCTCTTCTCGGCTGTGCCGCCTGCACAGCTTTATAGACTCAACACATATATTTCCCCTTACACCAGAATCTCAGAAGGAAAATTCACCCTCCCTAGATCTCCACCAACTCGTGGTGGGTGAGGGGCACAGCACCAGAGCCCACCCCGAGCCCCCGCCCTCTGATTATCGCGTCCTTCCTCGCCTCTCCCTGGGGGAAGAATCTCTGTTGCACAAATTAAAGCATGGCAGGTGGAATTCACCGCAGCGGGCAGGTCTGGGGAGTAGGTCCTACATGAAGATAAAGCCAAAACCATTCGCAGGGTCGAGTCTGAAGAGCTGCCTGGAGCCAGAAGCGCAGGGGCAAGTGGGCGGTAATCACCAGACCGGATGTGACGCATTGGGAGTGCGCAGGCCGGAAAGCTTGCAGGTGGCGAAAATGGCGGACAGCAGCGGGCGTGTGGGCAAGAGCAGCGGGAGCGGCACGGGCAAGGGGGCGGTGTCGGCCGAACAGGTGAGGAGCCGCGAGCGCTGGGTCGGTGTCGAGTTCGTGCAAGAAACAGGGTTTGTGGCTTGTACGAACCTTGAGCCCTTTCCACGTTCGCCGTGGTCACGCACAGGGGAGAGGGGTTTCCTTGGAGGTGATCACGCTCCCTCCTGGGCCGTGAGTTGCTGGGTGAGTCGAGTGAGAAAGCCCTGAGGTGCGCGACCTGGGAAGGTGTTCAGGTCTCTGAGGAGAGGGTCGCCGTTTCCCCCATTTCCCCCCGTCTCCGAGGTACCATGAAGAGGGTATGGTTTGGCATGGCATCTAGTAACGGATCCCAGAGAGTGTTTAGCCAATGAGTTGGTTTTTGAGTCTGTGACTCTAAAACGGTGTTCATCATCACCGACCCTGCAGAGCCACGTGACCCAGACCCAGCTTAGTGTTCTGTAACTGTTTTGACTAAGGAGTCTTCAGTAGATTGGCTTTGTAGTTTGGTTTGCTTTTTTGATCTTGGCGTTGGGTGCTGAGGGTCGCTCTATGAGCCTTGGCCTTTCCAGAATTCACTATGTTGACCAAGCTGGTCTGGAACTCACAGAGATCGGCTTGCCTCTGTCTCCCAGATGCTGGAATTAAAGGCCTATGCCACTTCTCCTGGCCCGGGTTGTTTGGTGTTTTAAGACATGGTCTCACTAAGTTCGAGCTGGCCTCTATCTCCCTCCCTGTTCTGACTTCGGAAGAGACCAGAAACGCTTTTCTAATTAAAGTTTGCTTCTCCTGATCTTCATAACATCGGAATACATGTGACAACTTAATCAGAAAGGTATTTGTGATAGGGGAACCGTGATTTGTTAATCGTGAGATTAGTGTTTAATCGATATTAAAAGAAAAAAATCACACAATTGAAATGAAAGTAGTTGAAGCTAAGGGTGTAGTTTAGTGGTTCAAGTAGGAAAGCCCTGAGGTGTAGGATCTGGGAGGGGGTCTGATCCCACCGGGTTTGAGTCCAGGGGTTAGGTTACATGTGTATTAAACAGTTATTTTAGTCATAAGTACATCTGTCAGTTAGTTGTTGAAGAGTTAGTACAGGTAAAAGCATCATCATAAAGAGCTTCCCTATCAGAAAAAGGATTTTCATAATTCTACTGAGTCAGGAAGTAAGTGTTCTAAGAGAGTAAAGTGCAGTGAAATTTTTGAGAATGGAAGAGGTAGCCTCTGACATAGTGAGAAAAGGAAAAACGGAAACTCATGCATTTTGACGGTTAGGCTTTGCTAAACACAGAGAAACTGGTAAATGAAACAGACCTTGTCTTAAAGTTGGTCAAAGACTTGTTTGCACAAAAGACAGCCAGGTGTAATCCTGCTGGGTTACCCTGCCAGTTACAAGCTAGCCTGGGCTACAGAGTGAAACACAGTCTCAAAAACGAGCAAAAAAGACAGGCAGAAAGACAGATAAAACAATGAGACTTTACAAATACATTTTACTTGTATGTTTACATGTCTGAGTGTATGTGTGTGCCACATGTGTGCTGGAGCCCTTGGAGATCAGAAAGGGGTCAGAGTCTCTGATATTGGTTGTTAGCTACCACGCGGGTCCTAGGCGCCACACCCAGGCCCTCTGCAAGAGAAGTCAGCGGTTTTCCGCTGAGCCATTTCTCCAGCCCCTACTTTAAAAACTTTTGCACACAAAGAATTTTTTTTTCTTCTCTCTCTCTCTTTTTTTTTGCACAATTTGAAAAGTGATTCCAAAGTAATGTAGGTTTAGGATTTGGTGGGCAAGTGGAAAAGGGAAGCTGTGGAATGGTGAGATAGCAATGACAGTCTTATGCCATAGAATCAGATAGACCAGTGTTTGAATTGTATTTTTTATTTATATATGATTTCTCCCATTACTTCTTACCCTCTATCTGTAAAAACACAGCAGTTCCTATCTCATAACTATTTAGAGTACTAAACAAGAAAATCCATGTGATTTTTTTTTCCCCCTACCCTGACTAAAATACAGAGAACATGAAATGTGTTTAATAAATGTTAGTTAGGGGCTGGAGAGATGGCTTTTGCAACGCCCCAACTCTGGTTCCCAGCCCCCATCGTGGTTGACTTCACATTTCCCTATAACTTCAGCTCAAGGGGATCCCATGCACTGCTCTGGCCTCCGAGGCCAGAACTGAGGTGCACGTGCTCTCATGCAGACCCGCAGACGCACACATAATGTGAACAATCTTTATAATTGCCGATTTGCTTTGCTTTCCTAGAGGATAAAATTCTTCAGCTTAATTTTAAAGGATGAAAAAAGTTAGTCAACTGAAGTTCTTTTTGTTTTTATTTTTTTTTTTTTTAATGCACATTGGTATACTGCCTGCATGTATGTCCATGTGAGATCCCCTGGAACTGGAATTACAGACAGTTGTGAGTTGCCATGTGGTGCTGAGAATTGAACCCAGGTTTTTTTTGAAGAACAGCCACTGCCCTTTCAAGAAGAGAAGAACCACTGAGCCATCTCTCTAGCCCCATGTGAAGATATTTTAGTTAGAAGTAATGTGCTTGCCAGCCGTAGTAGCACACACCTTTAATTCTAGCACAAGGGAGGCAGAGTCAGGCAGGTCTCTTGAGTTCATGGCCAGTATGGTCTACAAAGCAAATCCAGGACAGCTAGGGCTACACAGAGAAACTCTGTTTTGGAAAAAGCAAAAGAAGAATAGGAGGAGAGGGAGGAAGAAGCAAGGAATGTGTTCCAAAGCATTGAGACATGAACCACCTGGCATTGGAAATGCTGGTAGACTTTTTTGCAAGACTTGAAGAGGGTTATAGGGTTTCTGTCTCTGATGGATAATGGTACTGTAGAAGAGGTTGGAATTACTGTTATTCAAGGGTTGGTAGAGAAAAGTCCTCAGAGGAGAATGAAGAAATGTGCATTCATATACATATGTTGGAGGCCAGAGGCCAGCATCAGGTATCATAGGTCTAATTTCTTGTGCACTGTCAACTTTGTTGTTGTTTGAGACAGGTTTCATGTGGCCTCCAACTCACCAGCTAGGATAGACTAGCTGGCCAGAGCCCATAGACCCTTCTTCCCCATCACTAGGGTACCATTGTGCCTCAGCATTTAGGTGCACTAGCTTTCCATTGCCAGGCAGTGCATGCCTCAGTACTGTGCTTTTTTTTTTTTTTTTTTTTAATGTGTTCTGGGACTCAAAGTCAGGTTCATGGACTTTCTACCTGTGGAATTTTCTCTCCATCCCAATTAAAGTGTTTATCACTGATGCAAATTCAAGCCAAATGTGTCTTTTACAAGGAAAGGAGGAGTAGGTAATAGATTGTACTAGGCCTTGTTTTGTTTTCTGTTATTTATTGTTTATTGGTTTGCTGTTGTGGTTTTGTTTGTTTGAGATAGGAGCTCTCAGCTGTAACCCTGGACTAGCCTGGAATTTGCTATGTAGACCATGCTGGTCTAGAACTTGTGGCTATCTTCCTGTTTCAGCCTCCTAAGTACACCATAGCACTTGGGGGAGTGTTTGCATGTATGTGTGTGTTGGATGTGTTCCTGGTGACCTTGGACTGTGGAGGTCAGAGCATCAGATCCCCTGGAAGTGTAGTTATGAGCTGAGCCATCTCTCTAGCTGCCCAAATTTGAGAGTTTTTAATGTAGCCTGTTAGGAAATCACAGAAACATATTTTACCATTAGTGACTCGAAGATCCAAACAGAAAATAGTCTTACTATAGAAAAGTAACTATTACATTTTGGACTATGTCTTCTGATAGTCTCACACTTTATCTTTTGTATGTGTATAAGGATGGGTTAAGAAAGATGGCCCAGTCCGTGCTACAACAGCCTAGGTTAGCAGACAGGGGCAGTAAGCCTCAGAGACAACAGTTGAAACAGGAGAAAAATGTTCTTTTTACAATTATTCTGTCTTATTAGTCCTCAGAGTCTTAATTTGTTCTAATACTAACTCAAAATTCCAGGGTCATTTGTGAGCCTGGGCAATGATGAGTTTTATTTACTTCCAGCACGTCCTGCAGAGTCAGGCAAAGGGTAGACACTCCCATTCTCAAAGAGAGCTGGAAAGCCAGGAGTGGGTAACAAGCCTTAGGTCTGAGCTCCAAGAATGCAGGCATTGTCTTACAATTCTGTAATAATTTTTCTCTTCCTTATGTCCTTTGGAAACTCTGGGCCTCTAAAATGTTGGACAGCTCCACACATGTGGGCTTGCATCAGTCCATACTTGATGCTCTTGGGCTAGAGCTGCTTACTGATGCCCGCAGCCTTCTCTCCCAGGCAGACCGTGGGCACTGACAGTTGTATTCGGGGTCCTGGGAGCTGCCTGGCCCTCACTAGGGATTGCTTCAGTCAGAGTTCTCTTGTGACAGTTCCCATTCCTATGTTAGGTTTCTGCCTGGGCATTCCCACCCCAACCTCCAACAGTCCAGTGTATCTTTTGAAGTTTTAGTAGAGGAAGCCATCTCTCCACAGCTCTTGCATTCTGCATGCCTGCAGAATTAGCACCATTAGGGCGGACACTACCACAGGTCGCTGCTAATAATGTTCTCTCCAGCTGCAGTACAAGCTGTAAATAATTGGAGCGTGCTGGAATGTGAGGAGCAGGGGCAGGTAGGCTGGGGTGAGTTCCTTCTGCCCTCCAGACCCTAGCTTTTGATCCTATGATTGGAGGGACAGCCGCCAAGATCTCCGGAATACCTGCAGAACTTTTTTGCCTTTGTGTATATAATAAAGAGCTCTTGACTCTCTGTCAGAGTTAATTTCTGCACTCCTAGGGAAAAAAAAGAAAAGAAAAGAAAGCTTGTTTACATTCGTTTTCATGAAAATTCCACAGTGCTCATGTGATGACCAAAGGGACAATTTGTGGGTTCTCTCCTTCCACCTTTTCAAGCCTGGTATCAAACTCAGGTAGCCAGGCCTGGCCACAGGTACCTTTACCAGCTGAGCCATCTTGCTGGCCTGGTCACTCACTGTCTCGAACCTATTTCCACTTTGTTCACAGCCAGGCTGTGAATTGTCTAAGCTTTTAGGCTTTCTTTTCTTCTTTGGTTTCTTTTTATGTTCATTGGTGGATGTCTATGCGAGGGTGTTAGAAACTACGGAACTGGAGTTACAGAGAAGTGTGAAGTGTGAACTGCCCTGTGGATGCTGGGAATTGAATCTGGGTCCTCTGAAAGAACAGACAGTGATCACAGTGACAGGGCTTCTCTGTGTAAGCCCTGTCTGTCCTGGACTCAATATGTAGACCAGGCTGCCTTGAACCCACAGAGATCTGCCCGACTGCCTCCGGAGCACTGAGATTAAAGGCTTGTGCAACCATGCCTGGCTTGAAGCCAGTGCTTTTAACCACTGAGCCATCTTTCTTACTTTCTTTTAATTATGGATTCTTGTATTGTCTTTAAGCTGGGTGGTGTGTTTCTTAGAAACAACGGATTTGGATCTTGTTTATGACCTGGTCATCTGGTTCGTTCATTCTTTCTTTTTTTCTTGACACAGGGTCTAACTATGTAGTTCTTCCTGTACTTGAGCTCACTATGACTTCACAAAGATCCACCTGCTTCTGCCTCCCAAGTGCTGTTGATTAAAGGCATGGGCCACCATGCCCGGCTTTAGGCTTATCTTTTAATTGGAGTGTGAAGATTACTTACATTTAGGGTTATTGATAGGGGCTTGCTAATTATTGTAATTTTGTTGAATGTGTTTCTGGTTGATTGGTTATTGGTGTTTTGTTTTTTCATTCTTCATTTGTTGACTTACTGTGTTGGATGTGGTGTATGTGGTGGGGGTGGGGGGCGTGTGTGTGTTTTTATGTATGTATACCACATGGTTGCTTGGAGACCAGAATGGATGCTAGGAATCAAAAGTAGGTCTTCTGGAAGAGCAACTGCTTTTAACAGCCGAGTCATCCCTCCTGCCCCAAGTTATCAAATTCATATAGAAAAAGGGCTGGGAATGTCGTTCAGTGGTAATAGGTCTGCTTAGCATGGGCTGTGTCCTGGATTCACTGCCCGGTACTGTAAAACAAGTAAAAAAATAAAACAGGAAGGAAAAACAAAAACTATATAGCATTGAGTAACCAAGAAAGAAGGTAAAGCAGGACTATAAATCAAGGGGAAATAATTTGTTTGTATGAGATTAATATGTGACAAGCCAGAAACAACTCAGTAGTAGAAAAGGTTTTTACATTTAGAGAAACCGGTATACAAGTAGCAGCCCTTTGGTTCACTCTGAAAGCCACCTCATTGCACCAGGGCCTTGGGCTCTTCCTTTATGAATTAAGGTATATAATCTGTTGTTTTGTTTTGTTTTTTTTTTTTTTTTTCAGGCTGTAAATTGAACCCTGACACACAAAGGGCAAGTGTTCTACCCCTGAGCTATACCTTAACTAGTCTAAGTTTTAGAAGTAAACAAGACAAAGCATCTAGGCTGTCATAATGCCTGGCACATAGTAGGTGCTCTTTCCTGACCATGCTGTGGAAAGCAGAGTTGTAGGGTCACGAAAGAGTTAAGTGTCTAAAAATGGGTTATATTTGCATATCTAAATTTTCCTGAGAGATAACGGAAAAGAAGGCAGGGTATATCATGGCAAATAATGTAAATAGAAAAAATTGGGGCTGGAGGTGTAGTCCAGATGTCAGAGCGCTTTTCTTCTCTTCGGGAGGCCTTGGGTTCATGCTTAGCATTGAGTATACGAGGTGTGACGAGTACTCCTGTAATCCTCAAAGGACTTGGGTCAAGGTGGAGACAAGAGGATCAGAAGGTCAAGTCATCCTTGGCTACATAGCAAATTTGAGGTCATCTTGGGTTATATGGGACAAAAAGAGAAAAGAATTTTTTTGTGTGTTGAAAAGAAAACAACAACAACAAAAAAGAGGCCAGTGGTGGTGGTGCTTTTAATCCTAGCTCTCAGGAGGCAGAGGCAGGAAGATATACGTGAGTTTGAGAACAGCCCAGACTACACAGAGAAATTATGTCTTGAAAAACAAAAAGAATGTAAGAGAAGGGGTGTCACTCAGTGGTGAAGCACCCGCCTGACGTGTAGGAACTTGGGGTTCAGTCCAGAGCACTGGAGGTTAAAAATCATGTAAGGGATTAAACAGATGCCAGGACAACTTTGTAAGAGAATTTGACTTGAAACCAGAAGAGAGAATTTAGATTTCGGCAGGGAAATAAGTAATGAGAGAGGTTTGGAAAAGCCTACCAGGAAGAATGGAAATTATACACAAATGTCTGAGAAGCAACTGAATTGGGACACTACTAGTGACATAAGACAGCAAGAAATTAAGTTAACATGTAGAGAAAGCCTGTGTGTGAGAGTAAGCAGGACCAGGTCTTACAGATTTTTATTATAAAGAATTTGGGTTGCATTCAGGGGGCAGAAGCAAGATCTCAAGTTCAAAGCCTGACTGGTAATCTGTATTCATCGACCCTGCCTCAAAACACACAAACACCCCTCCAACATATATATCCTTTGGTATGAATGCCATGGTCACCCTTAAAAACAAGAACTCGGGGGCTAGAGAGATAGCTCAGTGATTAATAGCACTTGCTGATCTTCTAGGGGACATGGGTTCAATTTCCAGCTCTGTATCCATATGGTAACTCACTGACATTTGTAAATCAAGCTCCAGGGATCTGATAGCCTTCTTTGGGCCTCTTTGGGCCCAAGGCATGCACACAGTGAACATATACATGCAAGTAAAATACATAAAAGTAAATCTTAGGGGAAAAACCCTTTGTATATGAATTCTGAGGAGTGGGAATGGAACAAACCTTTTTTCATTATCCTTGAGACCCAGGAGATGTCAGCTTAAAAGTTGTTTACTTTACACTTCACTCACAGTTATGTTGCAATTAGCCGATGACAATGATTTACTTTTGTGGTTGATTTTTTCCACAACTGGAGATAATTCACACATTTCAGTACATTTATTTTAGTTCATATCCTGAAAGAGAACAACAAAAAATATATCATATTATACTAGAATAAGGAATCAGGGTAGGGATCCAGGGATAGTTCACTGGTAGATGCCTGCTTTCGTTACTCCAGTCCCTAAGCCTGATGTCCAGCACTACAGTTAAAGGCGGTGGAGAGGATTTCGTGGAGGAAACAGGATGCCATTAGTAAGAATGTTGGCTAGCAGTGTGGCACAGTGTATATCCAGAAGAGTGCACCATTTGGTGCTGGGAGAACATGTAGAATCTGGCTTAGCCACAGTGTTTTGCTTTTGTTTTCCCCTTCCCCCCTTTACATTTCCTCTCTTTCTTTCTTCATCTTTTTTTCTCTTCTTATCCTCTCCCAACACCCTTTCCCTCCTCTCCTCCTTTTAAAAGACAGGCCTCTGTGCATCCCAGATGACCTTGAACTCATAAACCTCCTGCCTCAGCCTCAGCACTGCGATTATGGACTAGAGGTACTAGCCAAGCTTCTTTTAGTTTTTTGTTGTTTTTTTAACTTGTTGTTTTTTAATTACTTTTCTTCAAGGTGTAGCCCTGACTGGCCTGGGAGTGCTGAGATTACAGGTGTGAGCAGCCATGCCTGTTCTAATTAGAATGTTTTTGAAGAATAGCAGGTAGTTTGCAAAATTGAGCACAAAGGGCTGGTTAGACTAAAGTTCAGGAACTGTGGGTCAGCTTTAAGGAACCAGGAGTGGAGTGAAAGATCAGCTTTGTAAGCATAGGTATCTCATCTCCAACTGCTTTCATTATACCTTCGTCTCTCCAAAACCTTAAAAAGATGGCATGGGTTACTTGCCTCTGGGGTCAAGGGCCAACGGCTTGTGATTCGTGGCCCCAAAGGAATCCTACCAAGTTAAAGAGGAGGAAGTCCACATTGGTTGGGGGATAGTTAGCATACCAAGTAAGAGTTACTTTTTGTTGTTGGGAATTGAACCCAACACCTCTTGCATGCTGAGGCCATTCTCACCAAGTTGTGTCTCCAGCCCTTTATTAAAAAGCTTAGTGGCCTGGTGGGTAAAGCATTTGCTGCACAAGCCTGGCCACCTGAGTGTAATCCCAGGAATTCACAGTTGAAGGAGAAAACGGAACTCTAGAGTTGTCCTTTCTGGAGTCCAGTTCCCAACACTCGCAGCCACCTGTAACTGCAGCTCCAGGTGAATCTGACACCCTCTTTTGAACTCCACACATATAGACATATACACAAAAAAGAAAGAATGTTTAAATCTGTAAAAAAGGCAAGGACTGGAATGGTGCTGGCTCAGTAGTTAAAAGAGTACATACTGCTCTTGTAGAAGACCTGATTTGGTTGCTGGGAACCAAATCAGGCTTGTGACTCCAGCTGCAGGGGACTCAATCACCCTCTCCGGTCTAATTACTGCATTCATTTGCACAAGCATAAATATCTATATAATTTTTTTTTTAATTTTAAAAATATCTGGGGGTGGGGAATGGCAAACTGGCAAGATAGCTCAGTGGTTAAAAGAACTTAAAAGGTCTTTCACAGGACCCGGGTTCAGTTTCCAGCACATACACGGTGGCTCACAATCATCTGTAACTCCAGGTTCAGGGAATCTGATGCCCACTTCTGGGTATCAGTCACACACTCAGTACACTCATACACATACTTGCAAGCATAACATCACACTCATAAACATATGATAAAAATGAGGAAGTTGGGGGAGGGGACCTACAAAAGCCCTGACAGCCCTCCTTACCTAGAAGTCTGCTGTAGGTATTCCAGCAGCTCCTTCCTCATCTCTCACATTCAAATTTATTGTCAAATCCTCCTCTTGCCTAGGAAATATCTCACACGTGTGCACTTAGTGAGTGCCTACTGGGGAAGGAATGCCACACAGACTAAGAAATTGCAAATTTGTAATCTTCTCCATTCCAAAATAGGTATCCACTATCGTATCTTTGTAGCTTGCCATTTTATGGACTGCCTTTACTTTGTGGTATTTTCACTGTCTCATCTCTCTTCTCTCTTAGGTAATTGCTGGCTTTAATCGCCTTCGGCAGGAACAGAGGGGCTTGGCATCCAAAGCAGCTGAGCTGGAGATGGAGTTGAATGAGCACAGGTAAGGAAGTCACAGAGAAACAGTAGAATAATTGGGTGGGCCGTTTTGTGGGGGTGGGATGCAGTAGAGTGGGACTGAATTTTGAAGTTTTTCGTGTCTTGCTACCCTAGCCTAGTGATCGATACACTGAAGGAAGTGGATGAAACCCGCAAGTGCTACCGCATGGTTGGAGGTGTGCTGGTAGAGCGGACTGTCAAAGAGGTGCTGCCTGCCTTGGAGGGTAATAAGGAGCAGGTGAGCAAACTCCTTCATAGGCATTTGGGCAACGGAGAGGTTAAATAGTGGCGACCAGGGACTTAGAAAATGTGAGGAAAGAAAGTCAAAAGCAGAAATTCATGTTAAAGCTATATAGCCTGTTAGCCTGTGTCCTTTACACTGTTACACAGTACAACTCCTTATGCGAGGAGTCATTGGCTGTATGCCCTCTCCATATCCTCTTTGATGTGGTTGAGTTGGGAGGGGAATGCAGAGTGGAGTTCATGGATACCTGAATCAAAATCACCTGAAGAACTAGTTTAGCAGCACTGGGCCTCAAACCCAGGGCCTTATGCATAGTAGGCTAAATACTGTGCCACAGAGCCACACCTCCAGCCAAGAACCAACTTAAAATACAACTTCTTGGGCTCTCTCTCTGGAACCACTGAACCAGCCCTTGAAGATACAAGTGACATTTTAGAAGAAGAAAGAATACTTACTGGGATGGCATACATTGGTGTTTAACTTCCTAAGATGATAAGACAGGGAAATCGTAGGTTTGAAGACATCCTGGGATAACTATAGATCAATAAGTTAAAAAAAAAAAAAAAAAGTGACCTAAGAGAAGAAACCTCATGATAACTGCTATTTTAAAAACAAGCAGCCCATCCTCCCTGGAGAGCTATTAACAACTGAAAGTTGCTGGGAGAGGAGGACGTCATTGTCTTAAGTGATGCAGCCCCTGCTCAGTTGCTCCTATTTGAATGGAGCGCTCCAGACCCATGCCCACAAGGATGGTCCTGCTTTAATTCTGTGGGTCACAAAACAAAACAGAAATATCCTGAGGTGGGGGAACTTTTCGGGCGGGTTGGTGGATAAAAGAGTAGGGCTAAGTTTGATCAGAATATAGTACATACTTATAAAATTGTCAGAGGATAAATAACAGAAGTAAGTAGCCCAGATGATTCCTTGTGTTTGAGAAAGAAAGCACTTGAGAGTTTGGACTTTGTTAATTCTAGGTGAGGTTAAAAATACTATCTTGTTTCACTTCCTCTAACCATAGTCCATTCCAATTCTGGGGAGGGAGACCTGCAGTCCTTCTGTACCCTCTTTTCTTTGCCTTCTAGATACAGAAGATCATTGAGACACTGTCACAGCAGCTTCAGGCAAAAGGGAAAGAGCTCAATGAATTCCGGGAAAAGCACAACATTCGTCTCATGGGGGAAGATGAGAAGCCAGCAGCCAAGGAAAACTCAGAAGGGGCTGGGGCCAAGTCCAGCTCTGCAGGAGTGTTGGTTTCTTAGGAACGAAGGCCTCTGCATTTTTTTTTTTTTTTTACCCTGATTCCCACTTCTCATTTCGTTTTATTGTTGTTGTTGTTATTATTATTGTTCTCAGCTATTGTAATATTTTTTTGTTTATTAAATGTTTTGGTCAGAATGCTTAGCTGTAGCCTGAAAGTTACTCTCATTTAGGGCAGCATTGAAGGCAAAAGACAGCATACAGCTGAACATGGTGGCATACACACCTTTAATTGTAGTGCTTGGGACACAACAGGAGGCCAGCCAGGTCATCCAAGGCTATATAGTGAGAGCCTGTCTCATACAAAACAAAAAATAGTATGATTTATGGTTTTTGTTTCTACTGGGTTAATGTCTCATGGTACCAGACAGGACCCGTATTTTGAGCTTTCCTTTGTAAATAAAGACATCTGCTTATTTAGTGCTCTTCTAAAAAGGAGTGAGAGACAAATGTTGACTCTGAGATTGAAGTTTAATAAATGCTTGCAGTGAGGTGGCAGCTCTGAGAATGCTCCGGGTTTGCCACAGCAGAGGCCTGGCCCTGTGCCTCTCTGCTGTTCTTTACATGAAGAGCTCCAGGACGCAAACCTGTGGGCTAGCTGTCCTGCCATCCTCACCGAAACCCCCAACCAAATAAAGATGGTCATTCCAAAGGCAAGTGCGATGGCCCATGCGCTTCAGTCCACGGTCTGCACAGGGGAAGTGGAGCCACCTCGGCGGAGACTTGCCTGTTGGGTGGAGAGCAGAGGGGAGTTATTGACGCACGGGACCTTTGTTACTGACTCTGCACCAGCAAACTGGTCTGTTATTTTTCTTATTTGATTTGCTGGCCTTTTCAACTGTTTATATTCTACTTACATTGTCTATTTTATTTTGTTTTTGAAACAGGGTCTCACTGTGTCATCCTGGCTAGTCTCAAACTCTTTGGACCAGGCTGGCTGCCTCTGCCTCCCAAGTGCTGGAATTAAGGGTGTGAGCCACTATGCAGGGCTGTTTTTTTTTTGGGGGGGGGGGGGGGGGGGGCGGTTCTGTGTATCCCTGGCTGACTTGGAACTCCCTTTGTAGACCAGGCTGGCCTCAAAGTCAGAGATCCTCCTGCCACAGTCCCCCAAATGATGGGATTAAATGAGTGTTCCGACACCATCTGGCTATGGCTCTATTTAAAAAAATTAGGCTCTTATGTGTAGCCCTTGCTGGTCTGGAACTTAAGGCTGGCTTTGAACTCAAGAGATGCACCTGCCTCTGCCTCCCGAGGGCTGGAATTAAAGGTGTGCGCCACCGTGCCCCTGCTTTTCTTTAACTCTTGTCATCTAACTTTTCCTCGTTTCTATTCCACCACTGTCTCTCTTTGTAGTTTTAGGTTCCCATATCTTTCCCGCCCTTCCCTCAAACATTGGTTTGGCTCTTACGGGTATCATAGATGTAGAGGTCATTGCAGATTGCGTCTCTAGCTCTGGTCAGAGTTTCTCCACCAAACAGTACAGCGAAGGGTCCCACCACTGAACAGGAATGGTATCGCAGGCTCTGGGGGCCCTGCTGTAGCCCCTGCCCACTGCTCACAAGCCTTGCAAGCTGTTCGGTCAAACGAGGGGCCACAGGTGGTTCCTCCTTTGGGGAGAAGGAAAAGGGGGACTGTCTCCAGGGTTTGCTCACCGCAGCTTCAGACCTTGTCCACTTTAAAATGTGAGTAGCTGGTACCTTAATTTTCCCATGGCTCCATTGCCCCGCTACTTCTGGTTCAACTGAGTTGCAGCCCCCAAAGAGCAATAGCTGATGGCCGGGATGGGGTCCAGGAGTTGGCAGGAGGGCGGCACAGTGACCAGATCTGGAGGCCGTGTGGCTGCCTTCTTCCTTGTAGCTGTTGGTACACAGAGATTCGGGCCTGAGTTTGGTTTTCTAAAAAGATTCAAGTGCCAATGTGCCCTTGTAAAATCAGGCTCGGGCAGGTAAGAGTTAAGCCATCTTAGAAATTTGTAGATTCCAAGATGAAAGGTGCTAGGGTGAGGACGGGGAGAAACAACCTGTAAGTTTGTTTAGGTTTTTCTAGAGTATAGAGAAAACGAATGCTTGGGGCAAAGGTCGAAGTACCAGTAAGTTCGGGTCCTGTGGTCCAGCTTTAGCGTGTAGATGCTTCCGTAGCGTCGCTGCGTGCGGACGCCGCCTTCCCTGCCGGACACACGCAGCTCTCGGTCCGAGAGGCGAGTGCACGTGTGGCTGCTGAGGCCAGCGGGAGGGCAGCTGCCGGGGTTCGCAGTCCATACCTCCCACACGCCACTCTCCGTGTCCAGCGCGGCCACCGTGGCTAGGCGACGTGACCCGTCCCAGCCCCCCACCACGCAGAGCCAGCGTCCTCCCACCTGCGCCGCGTCGTGGTGACTGCGAGGGGGACTGCCCCGGCCTAGCAGGCGCATCGCTTGGCCCCCCGCGGGGTCGAAGACGACAGTATCGCTGCTGGGCACTCTTGCACCACCTTCTAGGAGACCCCCTACCAGATAGAACCGCCCCCGCAGTTCCGTGCATGAATGGAAGGCACGAGCCAGAAGCACGTCCTGCGCCACTGGCCTCCAGGTCCAGGCCGAGGCCCTTGCTGGAACAGGGTACTCTACCCCAGCCATGGGCCCAGCGGAGGGGAGAGCAGCTGGGTCGCTCCGGGTCGCACCGCTTCAACTCGGGCCCAGTACTTCCTCCGGGCACGGGCTAGCTCCCCCTCCAAGACCAGCCCTGGTCCTCAAGCCTCCCCATCTCTCCACCGCTGTCGCCCAGCAACCATTGCAGGGGCTGCAGTGCGACCGCTGCAAACTGAAGGTCGCAAAGCGCCAGTTACCTTGGAAACAGGAGCCCTGGCTAGCTACCGCGAGCTTACAATGCTGTCGTCAGGGCAACGAGATGTCGGGAAGCCAGTAAATATCCTAAAAGACTTGGGTTCAAAAGGGCAGGAAGCCGGGGGCTCCTTAAAAGAACCCGATAGCGGCAAACTAGACCGTGATTGTATTTGAAAAGCAGGTGATGGGGGTAGGCTGAGTGGAGACTATATATATTTTTTTCTTTTTCTTGTTTTTTTCTTTCTTTCTTTTTTTTTTTTTTTTTCATTTCACTTCAAAATTTCCAACTTCAAAATTTCCCTAGGTATGAGGTAGGGAGGAAACAAGTCAGAGGTTAAGGGAATGAACGTGGACAAGGTGGCTTAGGATTCGGAGATTTGTGTAGGCTTCTGCGTTCCCAGGTGTGTAGGGGCTGTTAGAGTCCTCACTGCTCTGACCACTAGAGGGCAGGAGAGTCCAGGCTCAGCGAGAGAAGAGCCAGGAGAGAAAGGTGTGGTAGGAAAGGAGACAGGAGAGAAAGTGGTGGAGGAAGAGATGAGTTAGAGTGGGTGAAGTGGGTGAGGAAAAATTGGTTAAGCATATCTTGGACGATTTTTCACTACTTAGTCCTAGAAAGAATAACAATTTCATCTTGCTTAATTAGAACCATGTGGAAAGGGAGGCACTGTGGAATTCAGGATTAAGGGCCTGGAGTTTCTTCTGATAAAATCCTGGGCAGAAGCTGCCCAGCCTTAGAAGGTGGGTGGGGTGCGATGGGGAGGAGAGAAAAACAGACTCCTGCCCCTCCCTGCTCTCTTCCTTTTAGTCAAGCCCGGTTACTGAGGGCCTTACCGCTGCTCCCCACAGGACTCAGGGCAGAATGAAGAGGCCCAGACCAAGGCTGACTGACTGGTTTCAGTTGTAGGAGGAAACACAGATTTCTACTCCTAACCCAGCTGGGGTGGAGTACAAACAGGATCTATGTCCCTCAGGCCAGGCTTTGGGTGGGAAGGATGGCTCCGACTTTGGCCTTTGGTTTCTGAACATGAACTTGTTCCCCATTAGGTTGAGAAATCCAGACCACGGAGAACGTTCCAGGCTTCGGTGGGAATGGTCACGTGACTCGGACCAGGCGCGCACTGGACCTTTTTCCTCCTGATGCCAGTCAGACCCCGAGAGAAAACTGGGTGGGAAGGGTATGCCCAGGAAGGCACAGGCACAGACGAGATTACTACAGGGTCCATTGCCTTTGTCTTCCTCCTCTTCCTTCCTTTTTTAGAAGTCGTGCTCCTGAGGACTGAGCCTACGATGCCCCCCCCCCCCCCAGCTAGGCAGAACTCTTAACACTGTGCTGTATCCCCAACCCATTTTTTTTTTTTTTTTTTCACTTTCAGTTAGGAGCTTGATAAGTTACTCCGGGTGGCCTTGAACTCATTTTGTAGCCCAGGCAGTCTTTGCCTCAGCCTCCTGAGTGGCCCAGATTACAGGCCTGTCTCACCTGCATGTTAAGCCTTGTGTCACTGTGTCCAATGATCTATCCCGTGTCGGACAAGTAAGATCCTCAGTTTTCCAGGGTTATGGTAAAATTCTCTTCTAAAACAAACACCTAAGGCTGGGGAGATGGTTCAATGATGCAAGCCCCGGGACCCGAGGCCCATCCCCAGACCTCCAGGAACATATCTGGGCTTGGCATCCCAGTGCTGGCAATGCAGAGACGGTGGATCACTAGGGCTTGGTGGTGGCCAGCCATCTTAGCTCCAGGTGAGCTCCAGGTCAGTGAGATACCCCATCTCAAAATGCTAAGTGCACAACATCCGACCAACAACACCTGAGACTGTTCTCCGGCTTCCACATGCACGCATGCCCATGTGAACACGGATACACAACACTTTTGATCAGCACTTGGGACTCTGATGCAGGAGGAGGGCTAGCCTAGGCTACCCAGAACTACGCCAACCACCCTAACTTAAGAAGTTAAATAATAACCCCAACAAGAGACCAACCCTCCCCCCAAAATATTTTTGTATCTGTAGCTAAAACCTAATCTCCCTAAGGCTTCTCACTGGCTCACTTCCCAACGACTGGACAGGGATCTGATACAGTCCTTGGATTAGATAAGGTACTGACTAGGTAGGTTGGGATCATCTTGCTTAAATCTTATTGGTCTGGTACCCATTTTAGGCTCTTGTTTTCACCCATCTTTGGCTGAGCTGCCAGTTTTGTTTTCTGCCTCTCCTTACAAAACAAAACAAAAACAGGAATGCCCCATTCCAGGATCCTTTCCTGTTTCTCTCAGCTTTGTCTCTTTTTCTTCTAGTTGGACTCGAGTGCTGTGTCCTTTGAGTCACAGCTGGATATGTAGCCTGACCCTCACATACCCCCGAGCTGTATCTGCTCCAGCTCTGTGCCTCTCTCCACCCAGTAATAACCCTAGACCCAAAACAGGGACTGCTTAGGATTCCCACTTCTCCCAATTATTTTGAACCAAGTCTACATCTTGGAGGAAGCAGGAAAGAAGGTGGAAAAGGGGGAGGGGGCAGGAGGAAGTGGGCACAAGCCCGCTGATCTGTGCTCTCTGCCTGAGAATGACACCTGAGGCAGCCTGTGCCTCTCAGTCTGAGATGTCTATTCCAGCCCCCAACCTATGCCTTGACTTATATCTTCACAATGTTCTTTTTCTTCTCCCTGCCTTACTCCCATGCTTTTTTTCTTTTTTGAGACAGAGCATTGCTAAGTACCCCAGGCTGATCTTGAGTTCACAACATTCTGCCTTAGCCTCCTGACTGCTAGGATTACAGGCATGTGCCACCAACCGTATCTGGCCCTTAGTCATTTTCTGACCCTGGAATCATCCCCGGCCCTCAGGATTGTTCAGTGCACACAGAAAGACAACCCTTAGCCTGGTGAGTCTCTGTCACACTCTCAAGACTTCTGCAATGCCCTCTTCTTCCCTCCAGGATTGGACATGAGCTAGAAAGTATCTGAGAGAAGCTGGATGGCAGTGGTTCTAGCACTCAGGAGGCAGAAGCAGGCAGATCTCTGAGTTCGAAGCCAGCCTGCTCTACAAAACAAGTTTCAGGACTACACGGAGAAACCCTGTCTCAAAAAGAAGGAGGAGGAGGAAGAGGAAGAATGAATCTGAAGAGAAGGGATGATGGGGAGGAATTTGTGTTCTTTGGGAAAGCAGGAGTCATTGAGTATGAGAACTGAAAACACAGTATGAATATTAATGGATCCCAGACATTTCTCTTCATGTCTTCCTCTTGCTCAGATTTTGTCTCTTTGAATTTCCTCTCTAGGAGCTGGTAAGATGGCTCAGTAGGAGGAGGTGCTTGCTGCTAAAGCTGATAACCTGAGTTTGATTCCCCAGACCCCTATGGTGGAAGGAAAGAACTGACTCCTGTAAATTGTCATCTGACCTCCACACGGGGGCCACTGTAGGCGCCACCCCTCCACCCCCAGTGACCCTCACACTGAATGAATGTGCTTTCTGTTCTTTAGAGATTGTTTGTCTATCTTTTGCTTTTGTTATTGTTGATGGTGGTGGTGGGTTTTTTGAGGGAGGGTTTCTCTGTGTAGCCCTGGCTGTCCTGAAACTCCCTTTGTAGACCAGGCTGGTCTTGAACTCACAGAGATACACCTGCCTCTACCTCCCAAGCACTGGGAGTAACGATGTGGGCTACTATGCCTGGCTATCTTTTGCCTTTAAAAAATTCTTTTGGAAGCTGGGTATGGTGGCACACACCTGTAATCCCAGCCTGGTCTACAAATCAAGTCCAGGAAAGCCAAGGCTACATAGTGAAACCCTGCCTTGAAAAACAAAACAAAATTCTTTTGGGCAGGTGAGTGGGGGCTGGCAAGGTGGCCAGATAAAGAGGCCTGCCACTAAACCTGACAGCTGAGTTCAATCCCTGGGACACACATGGAGGAAAAGAGAGAGCTGCCTCTCGAGAGTTGTCCTCAAGAGAGGACCTCAGAGAGGTCCTCTGACCTCTTCTCTATACACATGCCGTGACAACACGCTGTTACACACACACCCTCTCTCTCTCAAATAATTTAGAAAATTATTTCTAAAATACAAGGAATGGACTGTAGGTCCTAGACAAGCACTCCACCTCTTGAGCTTCATTGCTAAAGACTGGCCCCCAAATCCAGAAGTCCTTACTATATAACTCTGGCTAGCTGGAAACTCCTTGTGTAGGCCAGGGTGGCCTTGAACTTGTGGTATCTCCCTGCCTTTGCTAAGATTACAGGTATATGCCACCATTCCTAGCCGGTGGCCGCCCTTGAAAATATTATTATTATTATTATTATTATTATTATTATTATTATTATTATTATTGTTGTTGTTGTTGTTGTTGTTATGTATAGCCCTGCCTGGCTGTCTTGGAACTAGCTCTATAGACTAGGTTGACCTCAAACTCACAGACACTTGCCTGCCCCTGCCTTCTGAGTGCTGGGATTAAAGCCATGTGCCAGAACCTCCCAGAGAAAAAGTATCTTAAGACAGGATCTAGCCTTGAGTTTGGGACTCCCCTACAGCATGCAGGCCCCTCGGAAGGCTTCCCTCTACTGCCAGGAATGCCTCAGCCTCCCACGTGACCCAGGTAGCAGCACTTGCTTACCTTCTTTTTCTTCCCGGTGTAACTTTTTTCCTGCTAGTTTGCGTCTGTTTTTACTTATTTTTCTTTTAGGGTTCTGTCCTTTCCTTTCTGCCAAATGGAGCCACCACCTGACTTATCCAGGAATGGCTTTTTCTTCTTCTTCTTCTCCTTCTTCTTCTTCTTCTTCTTCTTCTTCTTCTTCTTCTTCTTCTTCT